ACAGTACTGTACAATAAATGTAAAAATTGTAAAATTAAAAGATATATATTAAAATAGTAAGCACTTTTTTTTTTCTTGTAACAAACTGTTTGGTAGGAGTCAATGTGAGGTTTCGAAAACTTGTAGGGGGTCGATGATCAAAAAAGTTTGGCGACTCCTGCTCTATACTATCCAATTCAATTTTATTACATTGAAAATAAATTTGATATTTAAAACTTGATCTTCCTATTAAAAGCTTTCTCTTCTAACTCAATTATTTTAATTCAATTAAATAAGTTATTTTTTAATCCTCCATGAGTATATTTAAATTGCTTAAATTATATAAATATAAATTTTCAAAACATTTAAATTAGAAACTTTCCTAAACAAACAGCCACTAAAAATTGTCAAACTATTGTGAACAAAGTATATAAATATGATATATAAAAATTTATCTACTACTAAAATGGTCTAAAGCATTAAAATTTAAAATTACACCATTCTTATGATGCAAAATATAATCTACAGAACTCATAATTTTAATTTTACAAAATGGATTTAAAATGTTAGGTCAGAGCATGTTGGAAACCAACAATGCTCTTGATGTATATTATTAAAAACACATCAAATTAATGATGGAAAGAAAATTGTGATTATTAAACATCAAAATATTATTTTAAATTTTTATAGATTTTTTAAAAAATCCTTGAAATTTTTGTAATTTGAAAGAGAACTATTTTATTTAAAAATTATTTAAAAACTTTCCTGATAAAAACAGGAAAATAAAATTCTAATAAGCTTGGTTAATGCATCATAGATACAATTGCTAAAATTAAAAATTTAACACAGACCAACCATATTATAAATAATATATTATTTAAAAGTAACTGAATAAATAAAAATATTTTTATTAAATTGTTTTAAAAATAAAAATATAGCATATGAATAAAAATACTTTATTTTCTTACAAATAGTTAATACATTTTAATCAATTTTTAACTAATTATAACATTATTTGTAATTAATACTTAGAATATTTTTCATTAACTTAACAAATAAAATTGTTTTGTTTATGTTATGTGATTTTTTATTTAAACATCTGTTTCTAATACATTATTAATTTTTATTTTGAAAAATGTAATTAAAAATTTAATTTCATTTGTATTTATTAATTTATAATTTACTTACATAAGAGCTACAATATCTCCACGGTTTATATTGAAGTCTCGAATACTCCATTTGTTTAAGAGAACATAATCATGTGTTTTTTGTTCAGGATTTAACACAGGCTAGATAATAATTAAAATATAGCATCTCATTTATTTTAATTTACAAATTTATTAAAACTAATTAAATTTAAAATATTAAATATATTTCATTACATTATATAAATATAACAATTTTTTGATATCATTCACTGTTGGATTAATAATTCACTATTTAAAACTGAGAAATAATGTTTTATAATAAAAAATTAAATTTTTATTTATAAGTTGCATGTACTACAAAGAAATAATAATGTACAGTATATCAATGAAATAAATTTTCCAGTAAAATTACAAATAATTAATGGAAAAAACTGATACAAAAATTAAATATTAAATCAATATTTTTTATACTTCCATTAAAAAACAATCTAATGAAATCTATTTACAGTATGAAAAAAAACAAGCAATACATAAAAAATAGCAAGTGTTACATTTAGAAAGAAAATTAATTTAAAATCTTGAATAATTTTTGTTGATCAAAAAAGATATAAAGATTTCAAAAACAATTCTTTTTTGTCTTGGAAACATTGTTTTCCATCAGAAATAAAAGTAAAATTAGAATACAGTAATCTTGTCAAGTAATGTAAATTCTACTCAATTGTTAATAAATTATTATAATTTTTTATTTTAAACAAATGAAATATATTTCATCTTTTCTGTAATTATCTGTTAAATGATTGATAAAAGTTTTCCAGTTTTAAAATATTTTTTAAACATAGTCTCCAATTCAAAGACATTACAGTAGAGCGTCGTTTATCCGAAAGCATTCCAGTCGGCAAATGTAAATTTTCGCTAGTGCTGTGGCGCTGCAATCTTCGGCTATTTCTCGGACTACTCAAATATTTTACATTTTTGATACTAAATTAACTTCTTAAGTATAATTTTTTATTGTTTTTATATTTTTCAATAAATTTATTTTGTTTGTACACAATAAAAAAATAATTTTTAACGATACAATAGTCTTCGTTAGGCTTAACATCGACGAAAATTCAACGCGAAGCGACACGCAACGGAGAGAAATTTCAACATGGGATAAATTAATATATTTTTTCGTACATGATTCGTTATCCGAAAAATAAGTTATCCGAACCCAAGGTCTTAGATTTATAAGGTTGCCTCATACAGCCGATTTAGCCACTTCCTGCCAGATTCCGGATATACGTCATCCGTAGTCGAGCCCAAGGTCTAGCGACTGCTTCACTACTGTAAGCGAGGGAAGGAAATTTTGGAATTTAACTATTTTTTTTTTAATTTGTCGAGCGTTTTTAGACTCATAATCTTCGAAGGTAAATATATCTATACTTATTGCTATTATTAAACATAATTATGTTGATAATTATATCGATAAAAATTGTTCGGAAGTAACAAAAGTGTTCCTAGAACAGTTTGATATTCTGTTGTAGTCTTTACTCTTCGTTCTGTAGAAATTACAGAATATGGTTACGGATAAAATATATTTATTAATAAAATACTTTAAAATACTAAGAATAGTTTTCTGCATGTATAAAAATAGTATCTGCTCAGTGAAATGACGACTACAAATAATAAGCTGGCCGGTAACAGGATGGTAACACTTAAGATAACCTGCGATGTAAAAGAATATTGTTTATTATTAATTAATATAACTTTTTAAAATATGCATATTTACGCAAATACCTAAATTTTATTATTATTATTTTTAGATGCCAGGAGCAACATGTGCTGTTGCAAATTGTGATAACAGCCATTGTAAAACAAAAGTCATTAGACAGGAAAGTCAGTTATTTTAGATTTCCTAAAGATCCAATAATAAGAAGAAAATGGATCCATAACTGTAAAAGAAAAGACAAATTTAATCCTGATTCTTGTCATGTTTGCTCTGATCATTTCACAGAAAATGATTTTGAAAGAAATTTAAAAGCTGAATTATTAGGTTTATTGACAAGACCTAAACTAAAGAAAACTTCAATACCAACAGTAAATTTAGGAAACATAGAAAATAAAAATATTAAGCAGTCAAATGAAAGAAAGAATAGTGTATTAAAAAGAAATAGAAAAAACCTGATAGAAAAACTTTTAGATGTAAATAAACAGGATAAAGGAGAAGAATCTTTTAACAAATGTAACAATTGTAAAACTTTAGAAGATCTTAATTTTAAATTAAAGCATGAAAATTCTATTTTAAATATGAAGATTAAACATATTGAGATAAGAATGCAAGCAATCCAAAGAGATCTGAAATTTTGGAAAAGTAAAACTGTCATCATTCAAAAAGAACATGAAAAATGAAAAAAATAAAGATTTTGTTATATCATTATTGAAAGATTCTTCAGTTTGATGAGATGAAGATAAATACTGTATATACTGTACTGTACTTATATTAATAAAAGCACATAATTCAATAATTATTTTAATTTTCTGTTTTAACATTTTACTGATATTTCAGGTAAACAATATATATGAATATGATAAAGTGAGGGATAAAGTTATTGGACCCAATAATCAAGTTTTAGTAATGATGGCAAGAGGACTATTTGCATCATGGAAACAACCAGTTTACATGGATTTTGATGTTAAAATGAAAAAACAACTTTTATTTACTGTTATTTCAAAACTTTTTGATGCAGGATATACTGTTGTTGCTGTTGTTAGTGACTGCGGTGGACAAAATATAGGATTATGGAAGGAATTAGGGATAAATATATTTAATACTAAATTTATACATCCATCTAATGGAAATAATATATACTATTTTCCAGATGCACCTCATTTGTTAAAACTCATTAGAAATTGGTTTTTAGATACAGGTTTTCTAACTTCAGATCATACATTAATAAACAAAGACTCATTACAACAGTTACTTCAAATAGATTCCAATGAAATAAAAGTTTGCCATAAATTAAAAGAAGAGCATATTACATGTCAGAAATTTCAACAACAAAATGTTAGGTTAGCTTGTGAATTATTTTCTAATTCTACAGCTGTTGCTATTAAAAGATATATTAAAACTGAAAATGCCTTAGCAGCTTCTGAATTTATATCATCAATTAATGCATGGTTTGATGTTATGAATAGTTCAACACCCAATTTTCATTACAAAATTGATTATCCCTCCAAATGTGCTTATGGCATTAACATAACAGAACAAAATAATATACTTGATAATACTTACAGAATAATTGAAAGTATGAGATGTGTATCTAAAAAATCACTTCAAACATTTCAAAAAGGAATGCTTATATCTATTAAATCTATTAAAGATTTATTTTTCGACCTTAGTTCAAAATTTCCTAAATACCATTATATCTTAACATGTAAAGTAAATCAGGATTCTTTAGAAAATCTATTTTCACAGATTCGAACTAGAGGTGGTTTAAATGATCATCCTAGTCCACTTGAAGTAATATATAGAGTAAGAATGATAATTTTAGGCAAATCACCAGGAATATTGCAAAATAAATTAAACACAGAAGATCAGATAGCTGAAAATTATTTAATAAATGAAATGTTTGAAGAAACAGATTTACTGCAAGAAGTTTCAGATATGTCTAGTTCTAAAGAACAAGGAATATCTGAAAATTCATGCAATGTAAATGATGATGATTTATGTGATATATCTCAGGAAAATGTAGAATTAAAAAATGATGAATTAGATGAATTAAAAAATGATGGATTACAATATTTAGCAGGGTGGATTGCAAGAAAATACAAAAAAAATATCCAAATTTAGGAAGTGTCAGTCACCAAAATAAAAATGAACATAGTTATACAATGATGTCCCTTGTTCAGGATTTATCTTTTGGTGGACTGTCACAACCATCAGAAGATTTCTTTAATTTAGTTAAAAAAATGGAATCAATTTTTACAAAAACTGTTAAACTGCATTTGAAATGTAAAACGGTTTCATCTATTACATCATTACTTAAACAGACAATTAACTTGCCAGAAGACATTACATACACATACGTAAAGCAACGTGTATGGATTAGATTGAAATTTTTGAATAATTTAATTAAACATGATCGTTTCGCTGTGAAAAGAAAAGTAAATTGTAATAACAATAGAAAATTAAAAAAAGTTTGTACCTGATTTAATTAATTGTTTTTATGTAGCATTTAATTTGTACATATTGACATCAAAAATGTGTTTATAACATAAAAAATTGTTCTTTTGAAACTTAATTTGTATATATTAATATCAATAATATCGTTTTCGGTACACGAGTATTAAAAATTGAAAAATAGACCAATATTATTTTTAGTTCAAAAAAAAATATAGTAGTTTGACGATAGAAATTAAATTAATTTACTTATATATAAATCACCTACGTAGGATTTACCAAAATTAATCTTTTTAAGAAGCTATTGTTGTTATAAAATCATAAAATAGATTTCATTTACAAAGTAGAAAAACTCATTTTAACTTCAACTTTACACGTAAAAATTACGAAGATTTGCTCAATATTCCGGATTTTTCTTATTTATAATCAATTTTTATTTTTATTTAATTAAGTAAGTATCGTAATTAATAAAATATTAGCGTGTAATTAAAGCTTCGAGCCTCTGATCGGTAACGTTTCTACCATAAGGACATAGTAAGATGTTTCGTTTTCGACTACGAGTGACGTCAAATAAGCAACCAATGAGAAGCGTTTCTTCTCTATGAGGCAACCTGATAATCTAAGACCTTGATCCGAACCACCCCAGTCCCCAATTGGTTCGGATAAACGACGCTCTACTGTATTCATAATTATCATTCTTATACAAGTATTTTTTTAAATCTTAAATAAATACAACTAACTATAATAATGTATTTTAAAATTAAAATGTTTGTAAAAAACAAATGTTTCAATTTTAATTAAAATAGAAATATTTAATATCTTGTATATATAAAACATATTTAGTATTATAAAAAAATTTTTGTTTAATATCCTGTAAATTATAGTCATAATAAGGGACATGTAATTTTACTTTTCCAGCTGTTACATAACAGATGGAAAGTATTGCAATCAGTCAAAAAAATTACCCTCCAAGATTTTTAATTTTTTGACTTGGAGTCTTAAAACAAAAAAAGGTTGAGTTTTTTTCCTGAATGTATGGATGTTTGTGTTAGTGCAGGGGCACAATTTTGTCTACACACTTTGAAGCTTACTTAATAACCACTGTACTTTTTGTTAAAAATTTTTTGAAATTTTGCAAAGGTTTGTGTATTAGAGGCATTGATGTTATTGAATTTTGGTGATTAAAGGTCAAGGGGGTGGGAAGATAGAGGGGAGGCAGGTGTTGAATCTTAAGTGGGGTTGAACTTAATGAAGATTTTACTTGTTATTAGTATTTATAATTTTTTTAATAAAAAACTCATCTCTATTTCCATCATTAAGTTTTTACAATTTTGTAGTAATAATATAAAAGTTTTTTAAATAAAATCTCATAGCAAGTGCTGCCACATATAATTTTAACTGTTTTGCCAGGAAAGTTATGCAACACATTACTGAAATAAAAATTTTAGCAATGTATTGCATAATTTTCCTGGTATTATTTTATAATTCATTTACAGTTTATAAAAAATAAACTGTAAATTAATTATAAAATATATTTTCTCAGCATTTCTATAAATATAGTAAGAAAAATTTTCAAATAGCAACAGATTAAAGTGAGTAAAAATAATATATTTTGTTAGCATTTAAAAAACATAAATGCTTTTCTTATGAACCCATAAATATTGTTAGAAATTTTTTAGATCGATTTGATCTCATCATATCAGTTCAAAAACAAATATAGAATTGTTAAATCTATACTAAAACAATTATACTAGTGTTAGTAGCATTTTTATTTATTTATGCCACATCTATAGCTTTATTTATTTCTTATTAAGTTAATAAATTAGCAATATTTTTAGTAGTGGAAAGACAAAAATATTTCTACTATGGTTAGGATAAAAATAATTAAATAACTAAATGCTAATAACTAAATTAAAAATAATGTAATGAAAATGATTACTCATTTCTGCAAATTAAAAATTAAGAAGAAAAATCTAACTATTCATGACAAATATTATTAAAAAACAATATATCAAAATAGTTAAGAAAAAATTTTTAAAAAATCAAGTAAAAGTAAAAATCATTTAAGTAGAAAAGAAATCAAAATAGTTGTAAACATATTCTTTTTTATTGATATATAATAGACATTTTTCAGAAAGAAAAATTCATTGTACTGTATATAAAAGATCATATTAAGTCTTGAAATCTCCAATTCTAAATAATGTTTAGTTGCAAAAACTTTTCTGAAGAATAAAATTAGCAAAGATATACCATTGTTAAAATTTTAATATTATCTAATTACAGTTTATTTATGTATTACAACAAAACAAATATTGAAATAAACTATAGAAGTTTATAAATAAGGTTAGAGAGTGCAATGCACTCTGAAAATTTCATTATTTCAGAATGTATTAGATCAGGATTCCATCTGTATAAGAGTTTTCAAAAGAAAAAGCTTATACAGATGGAATCCTAATCTATTTTTTATAAAAGAAAAAACTGTGATAATTGTTTGTTAACACAGAACAGAAACTTTAACATGAATTCAACATGACAAAACTTTCAACATTCACAAAAGTTTCTTCATTAAATTTGATTTTTACAAAACTTAAATAAAATTGACATATTTACAGAAAACTTTTTAAAACTAGTTATCTTCATTTTTAATTTTATTACTTCTGAGGATAAAACTTATCTCAATATAAATTTCTTTAAAAATATCTCAAAAAAGAATTTAAAATGATACTGCTTTCATATTATAAAAGTAATGATGTACTCATGAATTAAATGTATTTGAAAGAAACTCCAAAAATATCCTTGAATAGTCATTGATTAATAAAACAAAAAATTATATAATTTATCAAGTGAGATTAAATCTAGTTATTCATTTTAAATTATATTATATTGTCTTACTAATCCCTAACAGTAAGAAATATAAATCTTTGAATTAAATTAAACAATTATTTGAAAACTGTCTTGTCTAAAAAAAAAAAAATGTTAATTGAAATAAATAATATATATCTCGGATGTTTCTAGTAAAAGTGAAAATAACAAATCTTATGCAATTAGAAAAGTAAATTTTTATAAGCAATAATTCAGATAAAATTCAATTTCCAAAAATAAAAACAAAAAAATTATTATTTATTGGAAATTTTATAATTGCAATTTCTTAATGTTAAATAAAGTTAATTAAATAAGATATTTTATTACAAATTATGTTTAAATTAAATTAAAGAGATTAATTTAAGTAATAAAAAAAATACTTGTACAGTAAAACAAATTAAAATAAAAATTGAACTGAATATTAAACCTTTACTAATATAAATCCAATTATACAATCTTATTCAAATATTGGAAAGTTACAAATTTTAAATTTATTACATTTTATATATTCAAACTGCCATGTTAGTTTTAGAATGAACACAACTAATACTCTCTAATAAATTTAAAAAAAAAACAGAATCCTTGTTTTGGAGTCAATTTAATATTAGAATTAAATTTTAAAATTGCTTTGCATTATTACTGTTAAATATTTTCTTAAAAATATATTAAAATATCATCATTTTTTATATATAATTGATGTAGTATCAGATAAAACCATTTACTGTTCAAAGAGAATAAAATAAAATAATCTTGCATTTCATATAATTAAAAATATAGTGTTTTGACATTTTCTACATACAGTAGACAAAATTCCAATAATATACAATTTAATATATTTGAATTTAACATATTTCAACATAAATAAATTATTAAAAAGTCTTTAAAAAGTTTATAAAATCAGTTTAGATCAGGGGTGTCCAACCCACGGCCCAAGGCAAGTTCCAATGCAGCCCAATAAACGTGTAAACAAAACTGACAAATTGTTTTATTTTTTTATTTCAACGGCATAAACTCAAAAAAGAAGTTTTACAAAGCCATAAACTTTTATATATATTTTATTTTTGAATGAAAAGGAAATATTTTCAAATACTTGGAGATGTGTGGATGATGAAGGAATACTAAATAAAGCTGAAGTTGTGATGCAAAGGATTATAGACCCAAATTTGAGAAAAGGAGAGAAAGGGCCAAAAGATAAAAAGTAGTGAGAAAGGTTAAATAGACCTTCTGTTATGCAAATATTGACCCTTAACTTTCCAACCTTTCTTATTACTTTTTATCTTTTGGCCTTTCTCTCCTTTTCTCAAATTTGGGTCTATAATCCTTTGAGTTCCAACTCCAACATTATTTAGTATTCCTTCCAGTGTTGCAATATTTGGGTACTTTGCGCCAAATTTGGCTACCCTTTTTTTAGTTTGGCATAAAAATTATCATTTGGTGCATTGGCTACTTTCTGGGCTACATATTATTTATAAATATATTAGTCGAATAAAAATGCACTTTAAAATGGTGTTGTGTCATTTTTTTTATTAATTAGAGGCCCAAATAAAACAAATATTTGTGTTTTTCAAATAAATTTNGTGATACTACATAATGTAGCAATTTTGAATGTTTTAAAGCATTTTCAAATGCAGTGAAATATAACAAAAAACCATAATGAAACAACTGAATTTATTTCTTTTTTGCACAAAAAATTTATTTTTCTTAAACTAAAGAAAGAAAAAAACCACATTTGCTTACTATTCAAAACTGAAATTAGTATATGCCAGGAGTGGCCAACAAGTCAATCATAATTGACTGGTTGATAGAAGCATCATTTTTGTTCAATCACAAAAAATGTGGTTCTCTAAAACATGAAACATATGGTTTGTGTTTAACAGGAATATTAAGTCCATATTTTTCATGGAGATATCTTTTAACTATTTGTAATGGATTGGTAATATTTCACAAAATAGTATGGTGAACACAAAGCGCTCACTGTGTCAATGTTCATTCCTAGATTATGCTATTTTAGTAATTATTTTGTGCCCTACAGAATTCAGTTAACTGAAAAATTTATGATCTATGCAATAAAAAGAAATAATTTTTTTTGTTATGGTATAAAATAAATAGTGTTGTTAATTTATGTTTTAGTATATTTACAAAAAAAAAAAAATAATAATCTGAAACATTAATTATCGTCCAATAAATAAATACAACTATTTTGCAAAATAATTTTATTCTAGTGGATTATTAAGCTTTTATAGAACAGAGATGTGAAGTAGATCATTACTGCATTTAACTCATGAAAGCCAATCACACCTCTCTATAAGATGACCAGACCTGGTATATGCATTACTTGTTATGATAATTAATAGCAGTTCTGTTTTATATCAAAATAATATTCCTATTAATTTTTTACTGATATTATTATTTCAATAAAATTTTTGAGCAAATTTTTTAAAAAGACAGCACTGATAAAAGTTTTATTTATTTAATTTAAAATGGAAATCATTAAGTTCTTTTTTTTACTGAATTGTTTTTATTAAAAATTCATTTAAAAAAATTCAGTAAAAAAAGAATTTTTCTACAGAGAAGTTTATGCAGAAATTTGACTATATTTCAAAACACAAATTTATATACTCACTATATGTGCCATGATACTCAGTTTATGAAGAGAAGGTTGACGATTGAATAACACAACATCTCCATCCATCAAATGACGTTCAACTATATCACCATACTAAATAAAAAAAATTTATTAATGTATATTGCAATTTAAACATTTTATTAAATTAAATTAAGTTAAAATGTAGTTAATATTTACATTTAAACTATATCACTATATCAAGGCTAAAGCATTTTTACTAAAATACAAAATTTGTGAGTGAATATAAAATTATCAAAATTATTTTGTAAAATTCCTTATATCATACCATGTACAAAAAGATGTAATATTTATCAATTATTTGCTTAAATCAAATAAGAAAATTGGAAACTTTTATGTCAATAATAAAACTTATCAAAACTTTTCATGTCAATAATAATCTTAATTTTCTCATTTATATAATTGTTATATGAATAGACAGTGACTTTTTCCATGCAACTTTGATACTACCAATGGATTCATTACATTAATTTTGCAATTTCCTTGTTTGCTTATCTTCTTTATCATTTTAGCAATGTTCTAAAAGTATTTTTTTTAACTATAAATTAAAATGTACTTAATTCTAGATGTGCATTAAACCTAGATGTGTTTATTTCTAGATTTACATTATTTAATTTAAATCTGAAAATGAACAACATGAAAATTTAAATACAGTAAAAACTGGAAACTGGAGTTACAGATATAAAAACACTAAAAAATCATTAATTATAGCAAAATTTGAATTACTATAACATTTCCAGCCATTATAATTCTAATATCATGATGTTATAATTATAAAAGGAATGATAATCAAGTTTAACTTAATTACATGACTGTTAAAGAAGAAAATAGTGGAAACAGCAAAAAGACATCAAAATGCACCCAATATAATTTAAATGAATTAGTTTTATTTTAATGTATGTATGTATTTTTTTCTAAAATAGATTGGTTTTATATGTAACAATATTACTAACTGAAGAGAGAATCCAAGTTCTAAAATAAATTTTAGTTAATATTTAAATTAATAACAGTAATTCTCAATGATAGAATTTTATTGTAACTGTGAGGATCCAGGGGTTGTTTTTCTATAAAATTTTAATGAAAAGATACAACTAGAAACTTTCCTTTTTTTTTCTCTGTCCATTTCCCACAGGGCTTAACTGTCAACAAGTCCTCCCCCTCACAATGACCTGCGAAATTGCAAATATGTGAGAAAGTTGACACTTAACTTTTATCTAAGGAGGAAATTTAAAACAATCAAAGGAAATACGGAATCTTCGAATCGACTATTATTTAGTTTTCATCAACCAGTTATGACACCTTTGATATGTCATCGCAACAAAAAAATGGTCACCTGATCAATTCTTACACTAAATACTCTTATAACACAAGCGTACCAATCTTCAGGAGAAATGCTCTGGAATAGCTTTGACTTGTGACTTTTCGTCCCGCTTGTCTCCCCATCTGAATATTGGCCATCCAGAAATTATCTCGACTAGATCCACAATTGTCTTACCAATAGCGAATGAACAGGATCCAAAACCATCAAGTCTTGAGGTATTATACTCTCGCTTGTAAACTCTCTCTCTCTCTTGTTTTGGCATAGTCATTTTAAAGTACTCAGTCATTTTAAAGTACAAATGCTTAGATAGTTAATATCGAGATGATCTTAAATGTACTATCAAATGAAGATGAATAGAGTATTTGTATATAGGTTTAGTGCTGTAGCTTCTATGTACTCCTTGCTTTAGCTCATTAAATTGAATTACTTGTTAAATAAGCCTTGCTGGACTTCCAGCACTCCAAGACACCCTATCAACTTACCCATTGCACTCCCCACTCAACAGGTTAATAACTGGTTTAAATATTTGATTACTTGTGTATGATAAGCCCTAATATATTGTTTACAACTGTTTTGTTTATGTAAAAATTAATGTAACTATAAGATCTTAGTAATGTTAAAATATTTACAATCCAAGTTGTATCACTTTATAATAAAGTTGAATAAATGTTTTATATATTTGGTTACTAGTCCTAATATATTGTTTACAACTGTCTTGTTTATGTAAAAATGAATGTTACTATAAGATCTTAGTAATGTTAAAATATTTACAATCCAAGTTGTATCACTTTATGCTTTACAGGAACAAAATAAATTTGAATAAGATTGTAATCAATTCTTTTTTTGAATAAATATCAACTTAAAAATAAAAACTGAAACAGAATATAAAAAATTTAATTTAAAAATACGTTTCAAATGTTAAATTTTTGTACATTTTGTATTCTATACAAAATGTTATTTTTCAATTGATGTTGACTCAAGAAAGGATTAAACTTTTTCATTAAAGTATTATTGGATTTCAATAATACTTTATACTTCATATTTTAATAATAAAAATATTGCATTAATTTTCAAAATCTCAATATTTTGTGGTAAGTCATAAAAGTTGACATGTTAACCGAACTTTGTTCACATGTTAATGTCACTTATTTACATTGTTATATAATTGAGAAAAATCCATATAAAACTGCAATACAACATTGTAATAATGTTTTATTTTACAGATTCTGTTAAAATGGATAGTAATNTAAAAAACAAATAAAAAACAACTTAGATTATGAATAAAGCTCTAAAGTTAGGCTTGAAATTATGGAAATATATTCCTGCTGAAAGTTCATTTGCAAACAAAAAAAATAACAAATGAGTTTTGATGTCTACATCAGCAAAAAGCAAAAGATCTTAGATAACTCCAGCCTGGCTCTTCATTTTAAGTATAATTTATGAAGACATAGAAATTAATATATAACATTTATTCAATAATTTTATTATGTATATAAATTCAATATTGTTCAATTTACATTTGTGTTTTATCCCAGCCTTGCACATATAATGTTATAATGGCCCAGTTTAGCTCTATTTTGTTTAATGTTATAGGTTGTAAGTGTTAAAAATCTTACTGTAATCCAATATGATTATTTTAATAATAATTTTTACAGAAGTTAAGCAAATTTTAAAATTAAAAATTTTACTTACAACTTTTATTACTACTGATAAGAACAAGAAGCAAAAACATAATTCAACTCACATCACTATAGTAATGTTATTCTACACACACAAGCAAAATCATCTAGTCACACAGAAATGTATTTTATAACTAGCAATTATTTATTGTGACATCGTCACAATGCTGGACTGCAACTTTTAAACATAGTTTTTTTATTTTATTTAATTTAAAGTATATGTACTCCACCTCAAATTAGCAGTGTCTTGATGTTGTACATCATACTTTTCCTGTTAGCGACAGAGTCATGCCAGTCATCTACCTAACTCCTTTCAGGGGAAAAGTTTTGAATTGAAATAACATGACTTCCAATTTGCATCAGAAGTTCATATATAGGCCTTGATTATATATATAGGCCATATATAGACATGAGGCCTTGATTAACAATCAAGGCCTCATGTCCCTAAGCTTTCCATATTTGGTCTCAATGTCCACCTCTCTAACTCCATTCTTGAGATTAAGGAAATTTTATGTCCATAATTTTTTCAAATTGCAATTCAATTAAATAAAAGTATAAAACTTCAGATATATTATCTGAATCTAGTTCATCAATACTGCTTACAATTAAAATAAGCTTGATGAAAGTCAAACATAAACACAGATAAAAAAAATATATGCTAAATCTAAAATAGTTTACAATTCCAAAGTAAAAATAACTTACCTTTAATTCTTGTGCTATTTTTTGCCTATTGCCATATCTTAAATACCTAAAGATAAAATAATAAAACAAAATTAAATATATAAATTTAAAAACTTTCTTCTGAATATCAATTTATAATCAATATTTCTGTCAATTTTTTCAGACTATAATTATGCATTTTATTAAATTAATATCATTATTTGATCTAAAAATAGTTGTTATTATCACTTTATATAAATATAAATAATTAAAAATTAATTTCAAATTTATTTACTAATTTAGAAATAGCTGGAAAAAACCAATTTGGCAATTTTAATCTGTAATTCTTGCAAGTACACAACACGTTATCAATTGATCCAATTTCTTTTTCCCTGTTATTCTTTTTTATTGTGTATTGCCATCAATGTGATCAGATATCATGATGTACACAATATATTCAGTGGTAGATTTCCCATTAGGCTTTCTTCATATAAAAAACCAAGCCTGAATCAATCATTTTGCTAATCAAATAATCAATCCAGATTTATTGTTGGACTACATTTTGGTTAATTAAATATATATATTGTGTAATTTGGACAAAACATAAACAATTAAGTCACCATCTTGTATTGAATTTAATTATAAAATAAAATAAATAAATAAAAATTTGTCTGAGAAAAAGAGAAAATCAATAAACTGGAGATGTTATTTATGAATTACAAGATCAAATAATAAATATACTAAAATCTATTAATTGATGTTATCTTGTTCATTGATTTCTCATAATATTTCAATAAGAACAGTTCATGATTTCCCATATAGACTCTTGTAAATCTAAAATGACAAAGCAAATAAATAAGAATACATTAACTTAACCTTTTCATGTTTGTACCACGTTGTTCTATAAAATTTGCACCAGGATGAATATCACAACCATTCAATATTAGCTTTTTCATTAATTGGATATTGGCTTTTGTTACCTGTAAAAATAAAATTTTAAGATAAATTTAATTCAAATTTAAAAAAAAAGCATTAAATATTTTTTAATATTCTCCTAGTTATCTGAAAGAAAGAACATTTATAATTTGTCATTTATTACATAAATGTCGTATATTTTGTAAAAATGGATTAAATAATTTTTAAAATCTGTAATTTATAATTTATCAAAATAAAGTTAATAGACATATTTTTGTAAACCTTGCTCTTGCTCTTCCTTTTTAGTTCTATTTAATATTCCTTGAGTGAGTTAAAAGTTATTTAAAAATTTCTATTACAGACTCCAAATGATTTAATGGACACAACAATTCTAATTGGAATGGTTAATATAAATAAATGGAATGGCTAACTCATTTCACTATTTATTATTATGTAGTAAATTATTATTGAAATAATTAAATCAGATTAAACAAATTACAGTCAAACCACATTAAAAAATGTCAAAGGGACTTAAAAATTAACAATTTGTATTAACAAATTTTTTTAATAGAGCTCATTAACATCGAAATGTATATCCTCCCTTTACCACGGAACTGCAAATCTACTTCACATTAATGCAGACTTTGCATAAACCAGTAAAATAATAGTGGATTTAACTGTCATAATAAATACTTTTATATAAATTATGTTCCAAATAAATTGGTTTGGTAAATTACCNCTGAGAAAAAGAGAAAATCAATAAACTGGAGATGTTATTTATGAATTACAAGATCAAATAATAAATATACTAAAATCTATTAATTGATGTTATCTTGTTCATTGATTTCTCATAATATTTCAATAAGAACAGTTCATGATTTCCCATATAGACTCTTGTAAATCTAAAATGACAAAGCAAATAAATAAGAATACATTAACTTAACCTTTTCATGTTTGTACCACGTTGTTCTATAAAATTTGCACCAGGATGAATATCACAACCATTCAATATTAGCTTTTTCATTAATTGGATATTGGCTTTTGTTACCTGTAAAAATAAAATTTTAAGATAAATTTAATTCAAATTTAAAAAAAAAGCATTAAATATTTTTTAATATTCTCCTAGTTATCTGAAAGAAAGAACATTTATAATTTGTCATTTATTACATAAATGTCGTATATTTTGTAAAAATGGATTAAATAATTTTTAAAATCTGTAATTTATAATTTATCAAAATAAAGTTAATAGACATATTTTTGTAAACCTTGCTCTTGCTCTTCCTTTTTAGTTCTATTTAATATTCCTTGAGTGAGTTAAAAGTTATTTAAAAATTTCTATTACAGACTCCAAATGATTTAATGGACACAACAATTCTAATTGGAATGGTTAATATAAATAAATGGAATGGCTAACTCATTTCACTATTTATTATTATGTAGTAAATTATTATTGAAATAATTAAATCAGATTAAACAAATTACAGTCAAACCACATTAAAAAATGTCAAAGGGACTTAAAAATTAACAATTTGTATTAACAAATTTTTTTAATAGAGCTCATTAACATCGAAATGTATATCCTCCCTTTACCACGGAACTGCAAATCTACTTCACATTAATGCAGACTTTGCATAAACCAGTAAAATAATAGTGGATTTAACTGTCATAATAAATACTTTTATATAAATTATGTTCCAAATAAATTGGTTTGGTAAATTACCAAACGATCGCCTAAATATCGGGCTATAATTAAATGATTGGAATAAAGTAATTTGACATTAGAGGTAGGCGTTAGGTGCCATCTCTTAAGTAAATTAATAATTAAAATTAAATAAATAAATTAAATAAATTTTAGAACCTTCTGGAATAAAAGAACTGGCCCGGGACGGGGCTTGATCCCGCAA